CCAACTGTAACATTATTAACTTATACTGTTAAGTAATTCTGCTCTCTTACTAGTGGTATTAATTAAAACAACTGTTTTCATTTGTAAGTGACTTTAATTACATTGATAGAGAGACCTGTGTTAATTCAAAAGTGGTATTAATTAAGACAGTTGTTTTTACATCAAAGTGGCATTAATATATTGTTAATGAGCGAGCTGTGTTCATTCAAAGTGGTATTAATTAAGACAGCTGTTTTCACCCGAAAGTAATATTAAATATTTTGTTAATGAGAGTGTTGAGCTCATTTAAAAGTGGCAATATAATATTGCTAGTAGTTTTAAATTGATGTTTATCATTATTTAGATATGTTTTCTCAGAAGTAGCCACACAAAATTTCTTTTCTCGAAAGGAGAAGTAGTCTACTCCCAACACCAATTTCAGCAAAAGACGTATATCAGGAACAGAGTCTTGGAGTGATATCACACTTCTGATTGGAAATCCAGAATGAGCAGATTTAGAGCATTGTTAACAACATTGAGAGTTAAATCAGTTTTATAACAGAGTAATAATACAATGGGTACATAATAAATATGTGAAATACACTGATACAAAATGAAATTAACTGATATTCGAAACATGTTTTTCCTTTTTTTCAATACACCCATTTCCACAGTTAATGGGAACAAATCTTGTCATTATTTGGACATCTAATTGGATTATATCTTGTCGTCACTATTTGGACAGTTAATGGGAACATATCTTATCGTCACTATTTGGACATCTAATTGGATTATATCTTGTCGTCACTATTTGGCTAGCTAATTGGAACATATCTTGTCGTCACTATTTTGACACCTAATTGGAACATATCTTATCGTCACTATTTGAACATCTAATTGGATTATATCTTGTCGTCACTATTTGGTTAGCTAATTGGAACATATCTTGTCGTTACTATTTTAGACAGCTAATGGGAACATATACTGTCATCACTATTTGGACATCTAATTGGGACATATCTTGTCGTCACTATTTGAACAAATAATGGGAACATATCTTGTCGTTACTATTTTAGACAGGTAATGGGAACATATACTGTCATCACTATTTGGACATCTAATTGTGACATATCTTATCGTCACTACTTGGATAGCTAATTAAAACATATCTTATTATCATTATTTGGTCAGCTAATTGGAACATATCTTATCGTCACTATTTGGACATCTAATTGGATTATATCTTGTCGTCACTACTTGGCTAGCTAATTGGAACATATCTTGTCGTCACTATTTGAACAAATAATGGGAACATGTCTTGTCGTTACTATTTTAGACAGGTAATGGGAACATATACTGTCATCACTATTTGGACATCTAATTGTGACATATCTTATCGTCACTACCTGGATAGCTAATTAAAACATATCTTATTATCATTATTTGGTCAGCTAATTGGAACATATCTCGTCATTCTATTTGTGCAGCTTATTGGAACACATCTTGTTGTAACTATTTTAGACAGCTAATGGGAACATATCTTGTAGTCACTATTTGGAAAGCTAATAGGAAAATATCGTGACGTCACTATTTAAGGATACATAAATAATTCATGCGGAATGTTTGGGCTCATTTAATATAACAATAACCGGGAATAACTTACAACATTGTCAAAACATTCTACTTGATCATTCTGTTCACTTACACCTTTATACTCCTGAGTAAGTTACAAAATTGTTACTTGATAATAACAAGATCATTTTGCCTACTTGCACCTTTATAACCAGGAGTAACTTACATCATTATAACTTGATAATTTTGCTCACTTACATCGTTATACTCAGGAGTAACTTATAACATTGCTACTTGATAATTAAAAGACCATTCTAGCAACTTTTGCCCTTATAACCAGGAAAATCTATCGTTGTTATTTGGCAACACAGCACTATTCTGCTTTTTTAAACTCTTATAACCAGGAGTAACCTGAAACGTTGTTGTTTATTAATAAGAACTCTACCAAGTTCTTTTCCACTTTTGAAATCGGAAGTAATTTACAACACTGTTACTTGATAATTGCGATATCATTGTGCCCATTTGCACCTTCATAACAAGAAATAACTTACAACATTACAATACTTGCTAATTACGAGATTATTGTTTCCTTTTACTTATAACTAGGACTAACTTTCAACGTTATTAACAGGCAAGTAGTCGTGTTTAATCATTTAAAGTCATTGGAATCTCTTCACTATGTTTTACGTACTTTCAAATCTCGATTATCATTACTTGCTAAATACAAGATATCCTGCTTTCTTTAGTGCATGACCTGCTACGAGAAATTACTTTAAAAAAATGTTACTTAGGACACATATATATACAAGTAATGCAATTATCAATCTACACTAGTACCTGCCAGGTGAGGCCGTCGCCCCTTGAACAACATCAGTATAGCCGTTTTAGGCCCATGATAAACAAAATGGAGTCGGATATATTTATCAACACATATCCTGTGTAGCTCACGTGCTTAGAAGATCATTTATTATATTGATTCAGATCTTTCAAAGGTCTCATCAACTGGGACCAATTCTCAGTGAAAACACCGTAGTCTTTGTATACAAGAAAGAAGACTAACATTCATTACTTTACATACTTCACTGCTTGTATCTCTTCTTATTCAACATTTGTCTAACACCAATATAAAGTAACGTTTAAGAAATACTGCAAGAGGTCGTTGCCGACACATCATGAATATATTGGGTATCTGTATCACTTCAGGGTTAATGAGGAAAAACACTTTGCTTTAATTTTTTATGTTGCAGTTTTGTTTATATTAAATGTTCAAATATAACCTTTCCGAAAATAAATTATGATTTTTTTATTGGGTGATTGTCGATTCTGATCTAAGAGAATAGATATCAAATCCGAAGTAAGACACAATTTAATTTAATTTAATCATTCAGTTTCAGATAGAACGGAATTGAGCGAGCTACTTGATTTGATGCACCATTTTACTCAATGATCAGAATCATTTCCTTGATTCTCAGCATTCTATATTAATCAACCAACTTCTGAACTTAATGCATAATTAGCAATAGTTGAACAAGTTAAAATATTGTTTCGAGAATTTAAACTTTCTCATTGGGTTAATTGTGTAAACGACGAACATTTTTGTTATATTTAACAGCTGTGAACATGTTAATAAGTTCCTTAGTGATGTAATCTGTAAACATGGATATATTAGGTTTACATTTGAACGTACATGAAAGAGTCAAAATTTCCTTTTCCTTATGTAATTTAGAGAAACGAGTGTCGATTGTAAATTATCATTAACCTATTTTTTAGACTTTATATACAATTTAATAATTACGTTCCAACAACCTTCAAATTGTGCGTATAATTTTTACGAGAGTTTAATAGCTATTTTTTTATAATTTTCAAAGTTAATCTTCTTCAAAATAAAGGTAGTTTTGGATCTATTTAATGGTAATTTGTAAACTAATAAACGTGTGTTAGAACGTATTAACTGTCCTTTGAAATCTATTAATGACCTTGTTGAGAGATTCAGTTGCCAAGTGAAAACTCTAACGATTTAATGTTATAACGAGTCAAAGGAAACTGTTACGTTTGTATTTCCATATACGAAATACCATGGTTTAAATATCAAAAAGAGGCCAAGTTGCGTGCCGAAAAGTCCAAGGTTCGAGTCGCAATCTGTTACTGAAAACACTTCAGATCTTCAGTTTATGAGCACTTTATAAAAGTGAAAGTCAATCCTACTCGGTTAAGAGTAACCTTGTAGGTAGCGGATACTGCTGGTTAGTCTCTCTCTCTCTCTCTCTGGTAAGCATTTCAAAATTGAAGGAAGATGGTTATGCCTGAGCGTAGACCAAATCTCGTATAATGTGTCGTTCATGTTGCAAATACCATATCAAATACCAAATGTGAAGGAAAAAAGTTCAACTGCTCTGACATTTTTGATACGTTTCAAAGAATATACTTACCCTGTTTGCCAGTATGCATTCGTAGGTTTAACCACCAGATGTTTCTGTGTTGAAATCAAGGGGAATTTAAATACAAAGGCAAAATCCATTTCATGTTATATAATATATTTGTGAAAGAACTGTAGTCGTCGGATCGAGTTATGTTGTTTTTTAATTTCGCGCAAAGCTACACGAGGGCTATCTGCGCTATCCGTCCCTAATTTAGCAGTGTAAGACTAGAGGGAAGGCAGCTAGTCATCACCACCCACCGCCAACTCTTGGTCTACTCTTTTACCAACGAATAGTGGTATTGACTGTCACAGTATAACGCCCTACGGCTGAAAGGGTGAGCATGTTTGGTGTGACGAGGATTCGAACCCGCGACCCTCAGATTGTGAGTCGAGCGCCCTAACCACCTGGCCATGCCGGGCCTCGTCGGATCGAACGAGCAAAGAAGAAAGCAGAGAATCAAGGAAAGGCCAATTATAAATCAACATGTTTACTCCGTTTACACATTATTCCTCCCCCCGCAGTGGCTCAGCACAGATAGCCTATTGTGTAGTTTTGCGCTTAGCAACAAACGTAACAAGCAGTCCTTTTTAGTAGTTTTCTGAAAATAGCAACAGATTAAGAGCCAAAACGTAGGATATAAATGAACTGGTAAATAACATCTAATAAGCCCTCTTCCGTAGATCAGCGGTAATTTTACAAGCTTGCAAATATAAAAATCCGGGGCTCGATTCCCTGCATGGACAGAGCGCACATGCCCTTTTGTGTTGCTTTGCAATAAAACAACAACAACGGCAATTAATAAACAAGAATGAAAAAAGCATTATCTAAATAGCAATTTAACTAAGGTGATCGCATAGACTATTTACCATTACAACGTATTCTTGTGTTTATGAACTTTGTTTTCTTACATTTACGATTATTATAACACAGTGATAGATTGTAGTTTACAATTTATATTGAAACACTTTTGAAGCACCTAGTCATTTTAATAGTAGTTGACAACTTACAGCAAGAAAGGCTTAGAGAAATTCGAAAAAGGTAGTTACTTGGGTTAAATATGTACTTTTATATTTCATACAGTTACTGAAATATATTTTGTCATACTTTACTACGTAAATTTAGCTTTCTGGCGTTTCGTTTATGTTTGAGATCCCTTTGTAAAGGCACTCCAAGCATTCTTTCAAAAATCGTGTTTATTGTTGGGTGGCTTCCTCCTTCGGATAAGTTACTGATAACTCCTGGAAGTACTTGGGTCTCTGAATGTTTCCTTCCGTGAATGCTGCATGGCCAACTGTTCCTCCCAACGTTCCGGATCTACTGCTAGGATACTGGACGTGCCACCTTTCAGACTTACAACCAAAGATGTTGATGAAACTTTGACGGAACTTGGCATTCATGAAGCAGTAAGTAATAGGATTACAGCAAGAAGAAGTATAAGCTAGCAACTGAAGAAAAGAAATGCCTTGATAACCAAGACCCCCGTAAACACCTATAGGGTTAAAGAGACTTATTGTGTTGATGACGTGTATTGGAGTCCAGCAGACAAAAAATTCGAATACAACAACAAACAGCATCTTAATCACACGCTTCTTCTGAGCAAGCGATCTTTCGTGGTTACTAACGCTCTGTATGGTGTGTAGTTCCCTTCCATTTGTGTCCTGATGAGCCCTTGTACATGAAGTACCATGGTTGGTTCTCCGTACAGTACTGCTCATGTTTCTGTCCTGATGAGCCCTGCTATATGAAGTACTACGGCTGGTATTCGGTAAAGTACTACTGATGTTTCTGCATCGTGTTGTTAATGGATATTGGACTTCTCTAACACGCCTAAGGGCTAATCTTCTTTTGCCTAAGTCAGAAACAATAATTTTAGAGCTGTTATTGTCCACACACACACACACATTCTGGTTTCTAAATTAATATGTAAAATTAAAATATTTAAAGGTTCTTAAGATGCTTTATGCCAACAAACATTTAACTTGGATGGTAACTAGCAACTAGATGAGACATTTGATAACGCCACAGAAGTAATATATATTCAATTGTCATATTTCAAGATTTGATTCCAGTATAAGAATATGTAAAGATATATTTTACATAGATTTAATCCAAATCCAAGACACAACCGCTTTAAATGGACAAAGTTAGCAAATAAGTTACAAATATTCATATCAAATTAAACTACACATTTACAATAATAAAGTTCCAATACATAACCACTTTAGAGAAACAAATCCTCCAAGGCAACAATATATAGCCACTTTAGAAATACAAACAAGTATCAACGCTAACACAATTTTTCTAGTCAGTGTGCTGAAAATCATTGAACGAAATTGAATCCCCCTGTATCTGCTAGGAACCACGTCCAGTCACAAGGTGCTACCGCACCCTCAGTACTTCTAGTTTTCGCACCCTTGCAAATAAGTTTGGGTATGCCTGGAGTCTAATGGGCCAACACTTGAAAAAACAACAACTTAGTGTAAAAGTAACTATACTTCAAAATATGCTTAAAAAACAAACAATCAACATAAGATAACCAGACTTCAAGCTACGACCGGGTAATGAAGATATTTTACTCCAATCTAACCAAATCTCTATATAAGAATAATCTAGAAAGGCAACCAGATCCAAAGCAAACAGGGTATAAAATATAAGAACTTTAGCTCTAAAATGCGCACTTTTCCATACATTGATACATAAAGGAAACAACCTAGATAACCAAACTCCAGCATGTGAATACTTTTGGAAGACAACCAGCTTCAATATATACAGATTCCCATTTATGGATACTTAAAGAGGACAATAACAACCTAGATAACCAAACTCCAATATGTGAATACTTTTGGAAGACAGCCAGCTTCAATATATACAGATTCCCATTCATGGATACTTAAAGAGGACAATAACAACCTAGATAACCAAACTCCAACATGTGAATACTTTTGGAAGACAACCAGCTTCAATATATATATATACAGATTCCCATTTATGGATACTTAAAGAGGACAATAACAACCTAGATAACCAAACTCAACATCTGAATACTTTTGGAAGACAGCCAGCTCGAACATAAACAGATTCCCATTTATGAACACTTAAACAGGACAATAACAACCTAGATAACCAAACTCCAACATATGAATACTTTTGGAAGACAACCAGCTCCAATATATACAGATTCCCATTCATGGATACTTAAAGAGGACAATAACAACCTAGATAACCAAACTCCAACATCTGAATACTTTTGGAAGACAACCAGCTCCAATATATATATATACATATTCCCATTCATGGACACTTAAAGAGGACAATAACAACCTAGATAACCAAGCTTCAACATGTGAATACTTTTGGAAGACAGCCAGCTCCAATATATACAGATTTTCATTCATGGACACTTAAAGAGGACAATAACAACCTAGATAACCAAGCTTCAACATTTGAATACTTTTGGAAGACAGCCAACTCCAATATATACAGATTCCCATTCATGGATACTTAAAGAGGACAATAACAACCTAGATAACAAACTCCAACATATGAATAGTTTTGGAAGACAGCCAGCTCGAACATAAACAGATTCCCATTTATGAACACTTAAACAGGACAATAACAACCTAGATAACCAAACTCCAACATATGAATACTTTTGGAAGACAACCAGCTCCAATATATACAGATTCCCATTCATGGATACTTAAAGATAACCAAATTTAAATACATAACCATGTAAAAAAATAATTCAGTTCAAAATAACTAAATAATAATATTATGACACGTGATACCCATGCATTGTGCTAGCGTTTTTTATAATCCACATTATAGAGTTACAAGCTACAAAATATAATTCCAGATAGTACATTCCAACTTTAGAGTTAAGAGAAAATTCTACCGACAAATGAAACTCTTATTAAATGGCTTCAGGGAGTAGTACTGTTGAAATATACTTATTTTTTTTTACTTGTAAATATTCAAATGATAACAGTCTAAATTATCTGTATTTGAAAAAGCAATATAAAGATGATCTAATGAAATTTTAGTCTGCCATTTCGAAGTTTTCTTGGAAGGCCGCATTGATATTGATTAATCCTATATCGTATTGGACTGAACTGAAAGTCTGACGTTCTTGCCACAATTTAGTGAAATTCAATTCCCCTAGAACAAGTAGTTTTTAAGAAATAGGCTTGGTATGGCCTTGTGGTTGGGGCACTCGACTCGTAATCTGATGGTCGCGGGTTCGAATCCCATCCCGAGCGTCTTCACCTTTTCAGCCATGGGGGCGTTATAATGTGACATTCAATCACATTATTCATTGGTGAAGGGTAGTCCAAGAGTTGATGATGGTGATGTTGACCAGCTGCCTTCCCTCTGGGTTATCACTTCAAAATTAGGGGCGGATAGCCCTCGAGTAGCTTTGCTAGAAATTCAACAAACATTTTAAAGATATAATCATTTTAAGAACTTTATTTTTTCACAATCAATCTGTATTTGTCTGAAGAAATTTCTTAGTAGGAAGAAGACTATAATAAGTTTAAAAACGCCTTTTAAATTATTTCGTAAATGGATTGTACTTCCTGCATTATCAGTAATTTTATTAGCCCGTGTTCAGCGATCATTAACGTAATTTAATAATACGATACTTCACACGATCATCACCTTTTCTGTTCTTCTTCTGATTCTATGTCTCTGGTCACTTGTATATAGTATTCTGCAAAAGTGACACCAGAAGTTTCATGTGCAATATGAAACATAACCAATTATCCTATTCCGAGATACATTAAAACAGAGGTTTATGGGCTAGCACATACCATAAGCAGATACTACTTGTCTTACCCTTGTTTTTTAAAATCAAAACCGCTTTTAGCGAAACGGAGAGCTTGTTGGGGCCTTGTGTAGTTTATGAATAATATAGAATTGAATATTTTTAAAAAGTGAACAGGAATGTGCGTTTTTGATTTACGTCATCTCCCAATCTCCCAAAAACAAATCATCATTTTGCGTTTAGTAATTGTTGAGATACTGAGGGAAATAACTTTCAAAGTCAAAAAAGAAGAAAGAAAACACTTTCTATTATAGCTCAGTGGGTAAAAATAGAACCTGTTCATTTCTAGAAATTGTGAACTCAAAACTCAAAGACTCTCACCAAAAATAAACAATCTGTAATAGAACAAACAACACCAATAATAAACATTCTGTAACAAAACCAACAATACCAACAATAAATAATCTGTAATAGAACAAACAACACCAACAATAAACAATCTGTTGCAGAACAAACAACATCAACAATAAACAATCTGTAACAGAACAAATAACACCAATAATAAACATTCTGTAACAAAACAACAATACCAACAATAAATAATTTGTAATAAAACAAACAACATCAACAATAGACATTCTGTAACAGAACAAACAACACCAACAATAAACATTCTGTAGCAGAACAAACAAAAGTTTTAAACACGACAAATCACTTTTCTATCTTCCTAACAAAGAAACAGCTCCACTTACCTTCAGTCCTAGATCGAAAAGGACGTATAGCTCGCCAGAGTGTTAGTGTGATGAGTGAATAGGTTATTATCATAATTAACAGTGGAGTGACCAACAGGACAACGTCCAGAAAAATGTTGAACAGCTTTTCTGCTGTCTCAGTGGGCCAGCTTTCCCGACATTTGAATCGATCTAAAAAGATTTATGGCTTATGTTAATTGTCCCCAACTAAACATATATATTAGAAGTTAACTATTAGCAGTATTTTTCAAATTGGAACTTATTAAGAATAATCTATATTAGAATAAATCAAGAATCGAATTCAGTGTTACCAGTAACATTTTCTTCTTGAAATAACCATTGCACTGAACCATTGTGTCACGATATTTTTATACAAAAAATTAATGCACTCCTCTAAATTGTTGAAATCCAATGGTTGACAGGGTTAAGGTATTTGTTCTATTCTAGTGTCTAACTTTAGACATAAAGAACGTTTTCTCATCTAGTCCAAGTACAATGGTAGCATCTAAACATCATACTAATCAAAAATCCTTTTACACTTTAGAAACCTTGTAGTTTTCTCACGTGCTTATCCAATCTCAGAACTTGTTCATTTAAAGAACGTTTGAACAAAGTTGCCATGAAATACAACCCGAATTTTGTGTGTGTGTTTTGTTTTTCGCTTTCCACGAAGTGTGACACGAACGTTTATAAGTGAAAAGCGAGGTTATTTAAAAGGAGTTAAAAATATGTAAATATTTCCTGCAAACTTCTTCATAAATAATGAATTTATTCACCATAATCGCGACCCCGTGTTCATCACACTGGAAAAAGCAGAATATGTTTCTTCTGTTGTTTTTTTTTCTATGTTAGAGAACAGATCCATTTTCTCATTTCTTGAAGTCAAAACCAACATATTTGTTTAGAACAAACACCACACCTTTTTAGACTTAAGTTAGAGCCAAATTATACAATTAAAAAAAAAGGTCGAAATTAGAATTTCGTTTGCCGTTCTGAGACTGAAAATCAAACGTAGTTTATTTGCAGCAGAGCACAACTGTGTAACTTATCAGGATTGTTATAATCTCTAGTTAGTATCAGTTGATTGGAATATGCGATTGAGTTGCTTTTCAGGTTTGTCGTGTTTTAAAGGTTCGAGTAATCAAAGTGAAGAGAAGTGGAGTTCTTGATGAAACTACGACTGAGATGAATGTTAACTCAAAACTAAGTGAGTGTTAACTCAAAACTAAGCCAAAGGAAAATTCGAAATATCCGAAAAAGTTGTTGTTGTTTTTTTGTAACAATAGGTTTCCGCTTCGATATAAAAGAGAGAAGAATGAATAAAAAAATCAGAAGAAACATCTGACAGATAATTAAAATACATCATTTCATATTTACATCGTTAATGGCTTCTACGTCTTCTTCAGAAGTTATTTATAGCACATTTGTTTCCAGCACTTATACTTTTCATAATATACATCTTTTAATAGTGTAAATACGAAACTTTATATTTTGATTACTTATTAAATATGTAATATTACACAAGTTCCAACATTCATACCTAAAAAAAAGAGACATTTTACTGTTTTTATCCAACCAGCCGTAGTATGAGGTACAGATTGATGAACAATATGCCAAACTTAATTTAGAAGAACATAAGTTTAGTCGTTGGAAAAAGCTAGTAAATCCAGTAAAAAAAAGAGAGAGAAGAGGATTGAATGCACTAATTAATTAATTAATTTGTAAATTAATTACAAGAGAACCATCAGATTGAACTATGAATACAAGAAGATAAGAAGAAACGTGGAAACAGCCTGAAATTTGTTTAATTTTTTGTATATTATATAAAACGTATACATTTTGTGACTACACCACAAGAGAAACTAGACTTTTTAAAATATAAGTGAAAAATCCAGGGGCGTGGCTAACACTACAGAATGGATGAGGGACCTTTTCCAAAACGAAACGTAAACCTATTCTTCTACACAACGAAATCAAATGTTTGTGAAAAATCAGAAGATGATGTACCTCTTATAATATCGGGATGGTTGTTTATGGTCGAAAATGACAGCAATGTTCAGCGATTTTACATAGGAAACCAACGAAAACTTTTTATGTCGTGCTGAAAGAAAGAAGAACCAACCAACACCAACACAAATTATATCCAGTAAGACCCTATAAAGGTCTTAAAGGGATATACGTACTAATAATAAGATGTGGTTTCGAGTTATTTAATTTTAAAACGGAAGCAAAATTAATTATGTTGAACACCTTTTATTTTGCGTTTTAACAATATGTTTATCCTCCCTCCTCCTCCCCCTTCGGTGGTTCAGCTGTACTATTGAGGGCTTACAACGCTACAAATCGGGTTTTGATAACCACGGTAACCAGAGAAAAGATCGTCTATTGTGTATCTTTGTGCCTAACAAGAAACAAGCAAAATTTTTGTAATTAGGCTAAAGTTCAGCGTCAGAAAATCCGTCTAACAATATAAAATGATGTCGCCTGTTTCTTAATCTGTGATTAAATACTTCGAAAAAATAAAAGCTTCGAAATTTTGAACATAACTTAAATTTTTTTTTTACGATAAAGATTGAACGTAAAGATATTTTTATAACGTTAATAAACTTCATCTCCAAGAGGTGATACACTGTTGACTGGGATGATACACTATTGACTAGGATATTTAAAAATATTAAAGGATAACAGAAGGGAAGGGTGATATAACAGTATACATAAGCTAGATTACATTTATACTTACTCTAATCATGTTTATTACATAGAAACTCCTTCAAAATATACGATTTAGTACTGACGCAAAATGATCACATCTCTGATATAAAGCTTTTTCCAAAGCAAATCAAACAGCAGTCTCAGTTCGTTTCTTTTTTACTTTTCAACAACAAAATTCTTATAGTAGAGCACCTTGTCTGCAGTGTCGAAGTTTACTTATTGCGGATCAACCTTTTGTATTGCATATTTATGTATGAATTAACACTTGAAGCCCTTAGTATCCAATTATTAAAGCTGTATCTAAGTGGAGTCGAGTTGACGACTTTGAAGTACCGATACAGGATTTTTTTGTGTAGTTTGCTCATTAAACGTTAATTCAAATTTGAGTTCATCGTGAATTAGTCCGTCTTTCCTCTACTACTGAAAATGTAAATCTTGAAGTAAACTTTTAAGTGTCATTAATATTGGGCCCGGCATGGCCAGGTGGATAAGGCA